TTTCTTCAATACAGAGAATTTTTCATCCAGACCTTGATCCAAATCTGCTTGTGTAATTTTGCCGTCATCCATTTGTCTGCATAAATCATTGTATTTACAATTTAATGCCGCATGCGCCCTTTCAACTTGGTCGAGGTTTCCCATCATTGACTTACTTAGTACTGAATTGTCTTTCATAATTTCTGTGTATACAGTTTCGCACTTCTGCACATGCAGTTGAAGAAGTTCAGTTTTCTTTAAAGTCCATGCAACATCCACTACTCCATTTGAAGCTTGAACACCCCAGTGGCGTAAGGCGATGTCATTTTCAACTTCTTCTGCCTTTTGATTCCAAAAACGTTTTCTCTCTCTTTCAAATAGCTCGTCTGGATAGCATTCTTCTAACTCCTTGACTGAGTACCTTCTTATCAACGGACTATTGCTCTCTGTTCCAGTTTCTGGTTTTAAGGTTTTGTTTTCAAATTGTGATGTCGACTTAGATTTAAACCCTAAAAATCCGTCTGTCTCTATATCTGGCTTTTGACCAATCGAAACAGGGCTATTCGAACGCAGAACTTGCACAGTTTCAGATGCCTTCCCTTCTGACTTATTTTTAATGACAAATATTTCGTATTTGAATCCTTTTAGTTCTGTCTTTGAAATGCATTGTTTAAGAAGGTAATTACACTCTTGTAGACATGATATTGAACAGCCAAAAAATTTAAATTTAAAGTCACTGTGAACGAGCGCCCCGAGTTGTTGCTGAATTTGCTTCCGAACTTGGGTTAGGTCTTCTTCTAAATCATATTTAACGATAAAACCAAGTGTCTGTATAGTTTGGTTGTCGCGAATTACAATCATATTATTTCAATGCGAGTAGTCCGGCTGCCTGAGAATGCTTTCTTACAAGTAGTGCGTTTCTGTGTCAGGGCTCGAAATATTAACGGCCGATCAACGATCAATGATCGGCAGGAAATTGTTTTTGATCGGCGAAAAAGCAACGTTGCCGTTCATCTTGATCGGCAAGAAATATATTTGAGTAATTTGACCATTGTCTGAAAGACATGCTTATACCTGTACGCGGTAAAAGACAAATAAAAATAACATGAAACACATTCAAAAACGCGCGAAAAACTCTTGTTTAGTTGATACGAGTCATACGACAGGCCGCAATGCTATGAAGTATTGTCGTCTCCGCTTCAACAGTCTGCAATCCGAACCACGACGACGAACGTCTTTGTCATAATAATTTCAAATTGATAGGATTTCTTGAGTAGGATTTTTTAGGATTTTCTCTTTTAATATTAAATAATAAGTTTTAGTGAACTGCTGTGTTTCTTGCTTTTGTGCGAAAAAATACAATTACAGTATACTATAATTAAAACTAATTAAACTAAAGTTTACTACTGTAATACATGTTAAATGTAGTTATACACTATTAGTATTGTCAGTGTTGTATATATAAGTCCACAAATGTCATAGATTTAATTATTTAAACTTGAATTTGAAATGAAGTTATTAAACGTCCTCTTTAGATGTGTATTTAATGGCATATTTAGAATTTTTTCAAGGAAATGCATGAGGGCAAATGCTCCTGATCGGCTAAATTTTTATTTGATCGGCAAAAAGTCGTGATTGCCGATCACCGTGATCGGGAACGTTGGGAACGTTATTTCGAGCCCTGCTGTGTTCTCCAATACTGTATAAATATCACAACAAAAGTTTCACGTTCTATGTGCAAATATATGGACGGAAGTGACCGTGTAATTTATTGTTATTTTTAGCCAATAGGCGTACAGTATTTGGCTTTTATTTATTTTTTCTATATACGATTTTAACATTATTAATAGACTTTGTACTTTTACTTTATATTGCAAAGCCACAAAGAAAGAGTTTTAGTTCATATTTATAAACTTGCTGTTCTATATCATCTGAATGATGGGAAAGTGTTGAGTTTGGGTAATTGTCGAGGGTCAAACGTCGAGGACTAAAGTCGAGGGTCGAAAGTCGAGGTCCGAAACGTAGTTTAAAACAAGTATTAATTTTAGAATTCTAAATTTTTTGATGAACGATTTGGTGTCAAAATTTTTAAAGTTTTAAATTTCTTCTTTATTTAAACTTAGATAAAATATAAAGCACTAAAGAGCGACCAGGGGCGTCGGAACGGCTCTAAAAGTGGGGGTGACAATTTATAGGGGCTTACAGTAAAACTAGAGTATATCTGAAATGCCATTTCCTGCACTTTAGAAGGATATTTACAGAGTTCTAAAGGTAACAAAATGTCATAAAAAATATCAAATTGTTCTGTCTACACGCGTAACTGAAATAATATCAATTAACTTTGTGGCTTATTATTGACCATTGTTAAAAAGTGGAAACCCAAACACATCTAGCCCTCCCCCAACTACAAAAGTGGGGGGCTCCTTCCCCCCCCCCACACACACACTTCTGACGCCCCTAAAAGCGACTAATCTCTGAGAGCCGGCTATTAGTAAAACCAGGAACACCGGAACAACGGAACACCGGAACACGGAACACCGGAACAGCATCATTCCGGAACACGGAACACCGGAACACTAAAAATTCTTAACTTGTTAAAAATTCGGAAAAAAAATACCGGGGGGTGTGAAAGTATTGCTGCAATAATTATTGCGTAAAACGTGCCTTTTAATTTTCTGACTTGGCTGACCGATAGCTACTAATAACGAACAGAAATCCTCGCAGAAATCAGTCTCAAAGTAATAAATATTTGCCCGAAAAATAGAAATCAAACCTAGAATTGTTATTTGTTGAGAATATTGAATGGCCCATCTTTGTTTGTTGTTGAAAACATGACAATCAAAATATTAAAGTAACAACAGTTGATTGGCTTCCTTGTTTTTACCGACTTAGCTACTCTTGAAGTGCAAAAGGATAATTTTCAATTCTCGTTCGAAGTTGGTATTTAGCATCACTTTAATACAGACAGTTCTTTAATATTGATCCTTTCTCACACGAAATATTTTATAAGCGGCGATGGATAAAAAACCTTTAGCGCGTGATAATATAAACCTTTCGCTCAATTAAAATGACAAAAATACAAACAAGTTAGAGTTATAGAACATGTATTAAGTTGTATATATAAATGATGTTTCAACGCATGCATGTGTGTCTATTCGTTCATGTTTAAACTGTAAATTAAACTGACACTCAGTGAGGGAATTTTAGTACGAGTAAAAATCCTACGACTCTATCCGCGTTTTCGCTCGAGCCGGTTTTCGCTTGCCCTGAGATTCATTGTTGGCCGGCTAGTATGGCATAGCATACCGAACATACTACATATAAAAAGCTAGAAAAGGTCGCACACGACGACGCGGTACTAGGCTATTAATATATGTCCTGTATATATCATTATCGAGGTACTGGACACAGTGCAGCACGAAAGATTGCATACACTAAATTATTCCCGCCATTTTTTTATTTATAAACAACAAGTTGATTTTACAAAGATGTGTAATTTTCAACTTCCGCCGATTGAGTAATTTAGTGTATGGAATCAGTATCTCGATAATGATATATACAGGGCATATACAGTGTAGCCTAGTACCTCCTCGTCGTGTGCGACCTTTTTAATTTTTTTTTATATGTAGTATGGCGTATGCTTGGTATGCTATGCCATACTAGCCGGCCAACAATGAATCTCACGGTAAGCGAAAACCGGCTCGAGCGCTAAAATTGAGTGTCAGTTTAAATACTCACTGAGTGTCAGTTTAATTTACAGTTTAAACATGGAATAGGCACACATGCATGCCTCAAAACATCATTTATATATACAACTTACATGGCCTATAATTATATTTGTTTGTATTTTTGTTATTTTAATTGAGCGAAAGGTTATTATCACACGCTAAAGGTTTTTAATCCATCGCCGCTTATAAAATATTTCGTGTGAGAAAGGATGCTAAATGCCAACTTCGAACGAGAATTGAAAATTATTCTTTTGCACTTCAAAAGAAGCTATTAAAGTCGGTAAAAACAAGGAAGCCAATAATATTTTGATTGACATGTTTTCAACAACAAACAAAGATGGGGGCCATTTATTCTCAACAAATAACAATTCTAGGTTTGATTTCTATTTTTGGGGCAAATATTTATTACTTTGAGACTGATTTCTGCGAGGATTTCTGTTCGTTATTAGTAGCTATCGGCCAGCCAAGTCAGAAAATTGAAAAGGCACGTTTTACGCAATAATTATTGCAGGGGGTTAGTGTTCCGGTGTTCCGTGTTCCGGAATGACGCTGTTCCGGTGTTCCGGTGTTCCTGGTTTTACTAATAGCCCTGAGAGCCGCTACGCAGGCTACATAAATTGATGATACTAAATTTTAAGTTTGGGTAATTGTTGTTGATTGACAAGGGCGTGGTTTTTGATTGACAAGGGCGTGGTAGTCCGCACTTGTGCTTTTATTTCTCTCGTGGATTTGAAGCGAACGACAAATTGATGGTTCATCAAATTTCTGCTCGTTTTTTTCAGTTGATTCTAATTGTTACAGTTGATTCACGAAACTTTGGCCCTTTGGCCGCGCCAGTTGCGTGGTTGGTTGGGAATTTAGGAACTATAAACACGGGATCATCAAGTTGATTGGAAACCGGCCAATCAAATTCGGAAGTTTCGGATCAAATTATCGAAATTCGTTATGAAATTCCGAACCAAGTTCGCAAGCAAGTTCGCAAATTGCAAACGATTTTGGCGGTAAATCCCAAAAACTAAACTTATTGTATTAAACTTATCCATTTAATAAATAATATCATAATAATAATAAGCTCAGTTTTTAAAATTATAATAAGGCCTAATAAGAGACTCTAAATTTAAAATTACCTCGGGCCTTCGGCCCTCACTTTCAGCCCCCCCCCCCAATCGAAAAGAGCTTCCTACGGCCCTGTGTATTGTATTTTTGCCAAATCTACCAATAGCAATTTCTAATTTATCTTATTGTTCCAGTCAGCTAGTTCCAACTTTCCTAAAACATTGCTATTGGTTAGTTTCATGCCCTCATCATTAGTCAATCATATTTGAGTTATTTTGCCCTCTATACTATTAATTCATAAAAACCTCAATAGAATACCCTTGTTTAATAAAGAAACATTTACAGTATACTTACTTATACCAGTGAATCGTATATGGTAGGAGTGGATTAAGTAGTTTGATATAAGTCATGTAATTTGATATTTATTTTTATGTGTACGTCATGCTGGGCATATAGTTTATTGTACTTATTGAACCGTAAGCCATTATTAATATTCATTCCAAAAGGCATAGCAGGCTGTGTTGGGATATTTAATTAAAACAATATAGATTCACCGGCAGTTATCTTACAATGATTGAGTCTTGCTGATGCTTCAATTTATTGAATATAAGGCAAGAGGGCAAGAGGCAAGTTTATATAGTGTTCTTCCCCCCATGCAACCCCAATGGAAAGGCCATCTCGAAGCCCTTGAAAAATATCTGACCTCACTGGAAAAATTTAATTAACCCCTAGCGGAAAAATCCTTTACACCCTGCTGGAAAAATTGCCTTGCCCCTCTGGCCCTTCTGGAAAAATGACTTGACCCCATTGGAAATCCACATGGGAAATCATCCCAACCCCACTGGAAAAATGACGTAACCCTTCTGGAAAGGCAAATGTGACATTTTATCCCATCTGGAATTTCAGTTTTTATTATCTCCTCTGGAAAAATAGGCCTCTATACCCCTCTGGATTTTTGGTCCTCGACAGGGGGGGTACGGATATTAAATGTAATAGCCCAATCTATACTATGCTTGTGATGTTATTTTTTTTTTTTATTTATTTTATTTTACAGATTTTGCCATTGAACACAAAACATACACTATATTACAAAAAATTAATTACAAAATAGGTTACATGGCTGGAATTACCACACAGAGATTATTAGTTCGATCTCCAATAACGGGATTCCAAAACATTTAGGATACAAGTATAAAAAACAATAACAGACATTACTCTGAGTGTATATCCACACACCGGGCAAGCTTGAAAATATGTAACATCACAAGCATCATTTATTTGAGTATTATATCACATATTCACCTGAGTACAATTACACCAACACAGAAAAATCTAGGCTCGATCCAGCCGGTGGGTCTCTCCCTAAGAAAAATCATGCTATCGGATTACATTGATATCGAAGGAACTAGAATCCGGGTCTCGTAGCTCAGTTGGCAGAGTATTGGGCTAGTATTCCAAAGGTCGTAGGTTCGGTTTCCATTTTCCACCGTGGTCAGGCATATTTTTCAAGCTTGCCCGGTGTGGCTATACACGCAGAGTAACATCACAAGCGCCATAGTATAGATTTTATATAGTATCCCATGTGGAGTTTTGATTTCCGTGACTAAATTAAAATAACAAAGCGTCCATTTACATCACACCAAACATTTGTCATATACTACAATTGCTTGTACGATCTTACTTGTTGCTTTATGACCGCCATTGGGACAAAAATTGCAATTTGGAAGAGCAAATTCGTGCGTACACTGTTTACATGCCGCCATTTTGCATAATATAGCAACTGAAGTTACCATAGTTACCGGACTATGCGCGCGCATTAGTTTTAGATTTCTACGGAAGGCGTCTACATTTGTATGGAAGGCATGCATAACATTTCTACGGAAGGCGTCTACATTTGTATGGAAGGCATGCATAATATTTCTACGGAAGGCGTCTACATTTGTATGGAAGGCATGCATAATATTTCTACGGAAGGCGTCTACATTTGTATGGAAGGCATGTATAACATTTCTATGGAAGGCATCTACATTTGTACGGAAGAAGTCTACATTTGTACGGAAAGCGTCTATATTTCTGCGGAAGTCGTCTGAATTTTCTACGGAAACGCCGCACATTTATACAGAAACGCTCTGTTATTAAGGAAAACTACTTCAAGTACACAGAACGAATGTGATTTTCTACGGAACAAGCGTGTCCCTAACGGGCCACCGTAAAATTGGCACTTATTGTGCCCGTTGTGTACATTCTGTGCATATGCCTTCAGAGAGCCATCCAACTAGCATCAACTGCCTTGAATCGTATAAATGGCGAGAAGTTGTCTGATACACTGCACGAACGCGATTGCCTGCTCAGGAGCCCCCACCCGAAAATTCGAAGCGGAAAATTAGGGCAAAAACAACTTGAATTCGAGAAACAAAAGTTCGAGCTAGAACAAGCAGCGAAGGATGAAGAACGAAAGCGGGAATTGAAGCACAAAACTGAACTGTTAAATAAACAATTGGAATATCAGAAATCAATCGAGACATCAGCGAAAGAACAAGAAAAATCAACGTCTATTAAATTACCCAAATTACCCGTGACAAAATTTAATGGAAATTTTGAAAATTGGCTCCCGT